CCACGGCACGAAATTTGTCACCTGCCATTTGGATGCATCATGCATGCATACTAAGCGGTACACAGACATCTTTGGCCAGTTTTCCGTCGTGATTGACGGACTAGCATTGTGTGAATTGTCCGTAATTGTTGTGAATTTTCTACAATAGAAATTTTTACAAGGATTAGTACAGGTTATTATCAGTTTTTGAGAAAAATTTTAGAAGCTTTCGTCCCTATTCATGCCACTCAATTAGCACAGGAAAATTGACCCCCCCAACAAATTTGCAACTTTCTGACCCTATTTTTGAGAGGCACGTAATCGCAAGCAGATCCGTTATTTTTTTGCCTACTGTGACTTTACCTAAAATAGCTCCCGGGTTCAGTGAAACAGCTCCCCCAAACTCCTGAAATTTGAAAGGCCAGGAGCTGCGCAAAAAAGCTTAATGTCGACCCCTGTCTACCTTGCCCCAGCCTGAACATTAAGCCGGTTGGCTTTTGCTCTTTTATTGTGACTAAGGGCCAGCCAACGTTATCATTATGCCAGGATCATATGAATACATATGGGTCACATCACCGGAGGGCATAATGAAGCTGTTACAAGATTACTTGGAATGTATGGATTCTTTTGTATTCCTTCAGGTACAACAGCAGCAGCTCCTGTCTTTCCAGAGCATGTCCCCTATGTCATAGTTGGAGCAGGTACTGCTTCATTTGCAGCATTCAGAGCAATCAGATCAAAGGATCCCAAAGCGAAGGTAATGGAATGCATAAAATACATGTACAAGTAAAATGGATGTAGCACTGCAGTACAGGCCTGCATTTTGATTGCGATACATATGGCACGTTAATTGTGTGTTCATTGCAAACCTAGCAGCACATGGAGTATATTGCATCTGTGCATATCCCCCCCATAAAGGTGACAGGTTGCAGAACACTGGAGCACCTTTTCTGTTTGCACTGTCACTACAAACATCTAACAAAAGAAACACAGTGCACCAACACTGAGCGTCCATTGTTATTGTACGGTGCTTCTTTTGTTAGATGTTCATAGTGTGTACACCCTGTGAAGGTGACAAGTGTTTGTGCACATTTAGCTGAAAACTGATCATGTATAGTCAATCCATGATACATGCAAATCAGCGTGCATATTCATTTCTCCCACACACATACGAGTCAGACTGCATGGGGTCCAGAAGCCTTGTGTGCATATAGACCTGTATAGGAGACTGCAGGTTTTGTTAAGGTTAGGTATTCAAATGTCATTTTCTATGCTTTATGCTTGCTTTTTACCACAAGTATTTGTACCAGTATGTGGCATTCGTTGCTCATTTTTGTGCGCATTCAGATGAAATGTAGATGAAATGCAAACTCAATGTTTCTGTGCTGCTCATTTGTAAAGCTTGATATCAGCACATAGGCTCAAGTAAATGCACCATTGGAGTGCTCTAAATTTGTTTGAATGAACTCCCAGATTCCATGCGTAGAACCAAGAAATGTATTAAGACCATGACCAAATATCTTGGCTGTGGCAGGCAGTACACACAATTCTATAGCAAATTCCTAATAATTCATGTGTTATTTCCAGCCATTGCCAAGTAATGTAGACATGGTCCAGTAGACAGTCTGTTAAAGATGATTCTATTTACATATTGTGTTGTTGCTGTGCTTGACTGAAGGTGCTAGTGATAGGACAGGAAGAATTCAACCCATATATGAGACCGCCGCTGTCCAAGGAATTTTGGTTTAGTAAGGACAGAGAGTCTATAGCCAGCCTTAAATTCACTCAGTGGAATGGCAAGGAAAGAAGGTAAAGACATTAATTTTTTGGGGGGGGGGTTGCCCTACCCGACGTATATTATAACACTATATATTCAGTGTATGCCCCCGAAGGCTTGTGAAAAAACCATAAGTGTACTCTGGTGGGACTCGAACCCACGACCTCCTGCTTACTAGTGCAGATGTCTTAACCACCCGACCACTGAGCTTGCCAGTGTTGGCTGGCTGGTTCTAGTCAAGCAAGCTCAGTGGTCGAGTGGTTAAGATGTCTGCCCTTGTAAGCAGGAGGTTGTGGGTCCGAGTCCCACCCAAGTACGCTTCCGTTTTTTTCACAAGCCTTCAGGAGCATACACTGAATATACAGTGTTATAATACACGTTGGGCAGGGCTAAAAGGTAATGTCAACCATTCTAAGGCCCACCGTCTCTAGAACTTCATCCTGTTAACTCCAGTAGGACCAAAACAGTACAGCTGGCCAGAGAGATAGAGTTTTCATTTTCCAGTGCCTTAGCAATGGTAGTTTCTGCTGCTACTATTGACATCTCAGTGTTGACAAGGTTGCCCAGATTGGTACACCTGTCACGTCTTATTGCTTTTAATAGGTTTAAGATTAATTTTCAAAAGACCTTGCCGAATTTTGTTTTCAAACAGAGCATCACTTTTTCTCGTAAAAATTGACTTCTCATTGATTTTTTAAAGATGGATTTACCAAACCTGTCCAACATTTTGTATTTGTTTAGCATCCTGTTTGAGCCAGATTCCTTCTACTGTGATCCAACAGAACTTTCTGAGAGAGAGAACGGCGGTGTAGCCATCTTTAAGGGACACAAGGTGAGCTATTTCTTCCATGTGGACATTTTTTTCATTTATTTGATTTATTTACCACAGTTTTTGTTTTTAAGTTGTTTAGGGATCGCTTGTTGCACAGCCCAAAGTGGGTTGTCGAGGGAAAAACGTATCATCGTATGGGAATCTGAACACAAAAGGAGAAAAAAAGAAATAAAAAATTGTAACAAAAACACCATCTGTTTTGGCTGGTGGGTCAAAACAGCTGACTAATCCCTCAAACAGATTGTTGCTGTGTACATGATACCATTTACATGGTGGACTATTAGTGACTGTGCTCGTTTCACTTAGGATGCTGTACTTTTTGTAAGATTTACTAAAAATAGCTCTTCAATCAACCCCCCTAAAAAAATCTGATTTTGAAATCTTACAGTGTTCCTGCTAATTGAAAGAGTTTAGAGGTTTCTGGAAGTATTTGGCAAAAATGTTTAATATTATTTACAACTATGGACATTTCAAACACTGACATGTTTTTTGAAAATTGTTGATGTTAAAAATTTAACCCTAAGAGGCAGATAAAATAGTATAAACTTTATCAACTCCTAGCCCTATAAGCAAAATGGCATGCTCTATTCATAAAACCATCTGTTATATTTTTTGTCCTGTAACAGGTTGTATCTTTAGATGTACACAAGAAGGCCGTCATACTCGATGATGGAAAAGTGGTGAAATATGACAAGTGCCTTCTAGCAACAGGTTAATAAGAAATTGTCTCGGATTGGTTGATAATTAGTGTTACAACTGTGTCTCATTTGTGACTGGATCCCATAGAATGGGTCTGAAAATTTGTTCAATAATTGTTTAAACATATATTTAAGCAAACTAAGGTCTTTATTTTGATGTATCACTCAGTTTGGCATTTGATTAAAATGGAGGTTATTGGGGGTTCTTACTGATTTATGCCTTTCAAGATTCCTTTAAAGTCCTTTTATTCAAATGTGGCTCTGCCAATTTTTAATACATTGCATTATGTTTGGCCAGATTTTTATATTTAGAAAAAAATGTTCATGCATCTTTTGTCTGTTATGTATGACTTGTACATGTATTTGTAACATTGAAAAGTATGCAGCTGACATGTCTGAGTGATTCTGATTATCTACAATATGTTGCTGATATTTTTGGCAATTTTAATTATTTGTAGGTGGAACCCCAAGGAATCTACCTGCCTTCAGGAAGGCTGGAGAGGAGGTTAAGAAGAGAACCACACTGTTCAGAAATGTAAGTGCTGAAAACATTTCTGGTTAGAGTATCCTTGAAAGCTAGCTAACAATTGTCTGTATTCATTTTGTATGAGGAGGACATGTGAGGGTCCTCAGTTCTTGTTGTGTTCAGAGGATAGATTGTAGTCATGCCATAAAGAGCAGATCTGGATTCCTTGGCTCAGCCACTCACACACACACTCAAGTGTGTAAACGCCTTCAATCGTGGACTCCCTATTGTTCCTCTTTTGTTCATACTCCAACTTTTTCAGAAGACCTCCCATATGTTTTGTACATGTTTTCCAACCGCGGACTCTTTGGCAACCATGGACCCTATTGTCCCCTATTGTTATAGGTCCACGATTGAAGGCGTTTACACACTCACACCCACCCACGTGACTCTCAAGATGTGTATCTGTTTGCTTTTCAGATAAAAGATTTCCAGAAGTTAGATGAAATCAGCCAGGAGGCAAAGAGCATCGTTATCATTGGGGGTGGATTCCTTGGGAGTGAGCTTGCCTGTGCCCTGGGAAGAAGGGGTAGGTTACCCACAATGCATCTACCTTAAAGCTGCTGAGCTTCATCAGTTTGGCTTTTGGTGCTAAAATAATAATTTTTAAAGGCATACTTTTTGGAAAATAAACTTAAACTGCTAGCCTTACTTGTTAGCCATACGTTGCTGGGTAGCCGGGTTTCGGGCACATAGGCTTGATACACAAAACTGGGGAGCCTGAAACCGGACAAAAGAGCTAGGCCTTATCACAAAAGACCGTACTTGGAACAAAAGACCAAGCTACTGGGAATTGCTAAAAATTTTCAGTTGTCATTAGAGAAGGAAATCCGTCATTGTTTTGAAAGATTATACCACTGTTGGTGGCATTTTGCACGAGCTGATTACCAGGGACAAAAGCACTCCAGTTATTAGGGATACAATACCGCTGCACGCTAATCTGGTCCCTATTGAAAAGACACCAGTCACGCACTGTGCCAAAAGAAACTCATGTAACACTGCACAATCTGGGCTCTTTTTACTAGGCGGCAGGCCTGACTGAAATACTCGGGTGTCAATAGATGTTTTCTGTCAGATTAGAGTAGCCACCAGATAGTCATTCGTGTGGGTGTAAACGTCCAGTAAATGAAGTTATGATTTTTTGAAGAATTTTGAAAATGGAAAATCTTGAAAATCTCCTGGTTTGACGTCATGCAACTTTAAATTCCACCCGGCAGCAAGTGGTTAATCACAGGTAAAGTTTTGCCCACAATTAAATAATGTGATTGTTATAAAGGAGTAGCACATTGTTTTGACTTGGTTTTTCTTTGCCTCTCAAGGCAAAGAAACTGGATTGAAGGTCACCCAAGTCTTCCCTGAAAAAGGTAAAATCCTTTGCTGTGTAATTCTAAGAACTAATCAAGTATAAAAAGTGAACTAACATAGTATCTAGTAATTTTGGCCAGAAACAACAAACCCTCACTATATGATAAATTAGTTCAAGTGGAAATCAGCATATATCTTTACTCTGTAGCCACGAGCAAGTGTTTTTTCCTCAAGCAAGTGTGCTTAACCTCAGCCCCTGTCATTTGTTTCTCTAAAATCCATGAAATCAGAAGCAATTGAAGAGTGATTTGTCGGGGTATTCACCAGTTTACCTCTTCAAATTTGTGCCATGTCTCAGTAGCTGCCTATAGCCTTAACACTTACAATCCCAAATCCTCCGATTTCAGTATGATTCTCTATGCATCCTGGGTGTTAGGGGAAGAAATGGTGCACTGTTAAACTCATGCAGAAAAGCTGTACTAACCTTAAGCATTACATTCTAGACCTAGTGATACCTGCATACATGTATTGAGATTTCTATCATGGCGTTCTATAGTAAGTGAATTTATACCTCTGTAGTTAGTGTAGCTTTAGCACTGTATGCTCTGTGTAGAATGGTTGGGGGCTGTCGTAGCATTGCCTTTGCATTGACTGCTGTATGCAGCTATACACAAATGTAACATGATTTGAGGGTGGACAGGCGAGGGGAGCCAACATGGACCATCTGTTTATATGGACTATCTATTTACCATACCTGGTACATTATGTGCGGCATCATTGAGTGTATAAAACCATGTTTTGACCTGCAAATGTATCCTCGTGTATGTGCCCAGCAGAAAATGGCGACTACTGATTGTGATGAGCGGACCAAATATGAATTTAGGTCTCATCCATGACCGTATGATTGAGGCGCTGTATGCAATGGGTTTTAACCTGTTTAATTTTGTTGCATCCAGCATTATCAATTAATATCTTACAACTCGAGTGGTCATTGAAGTGGCTGTTTTCACTAGCTACATTGCTAGTGCCTGGTTGGATGGATGCCACTTCTTTACCTCGCCTGTCTAACGTTGGAATTCCTTCTTAATCTCTGCGTTCAGGGTTCAGACTGAAGATGCACCTCTTCTGAATCCCCCCTTTTATCGGTCTTGTTAGGCATCAAACACCCTATCAGTTTTTAGAATTCACTCAATCAGTTTCATCAATTCCTGTCACAGGCAACATGGGAAGAGTGCTACCTGAATATCTGAGCAAATGGACTACAAAGAAAGTCAAAAATGGTAAGATTCAAAGTGTGTGCATTGAATGCGCCAGATATTTCAATTTTTCATCTCAGAATTTCGTACATTTTCTTCCTTTTTAAAACATCTGAACATGAAGTATAGAGTTCAATTTGAAATTTAACTAACCAGATTTCCTAATCTTAGGAATGGTTTGCAGTAAACTTAGAACATATGGGGGGAAGGCCAAAAGTGTGTCCACTGCATCATTTACCTTTGAACATTTTGTGCATGAAAATGCACCAGTGAAATGAATTTTGAAGATTTGTGTTCAACTGTGCTGTTTCTTATGGTGAGTTGTTGTGGGTTATGAATTAATCAGACCCTAGGCTTTGCATTCAGTCCACACATCAGTAATTACAATATCTCCGGATGTTGGTCAGCTATGTTGCTGCAGTGTTGTTGGGTACCAGTCAATAAACCAGTATGTAAAACATGATGTATTCTCAATTACTCTCACTGTATATTGCAAAACAAAGTCATATTAATAAGAATCCTCGACTTGTTTTTGACAAGGATAGAATTTAATTTGCCATCATATAATTCATAGACTGTGCATACTTACACTGACATGACCAATACGACATATTTTCAGTCATCGTGATATTCCTTTTGTTATTTCAGAGGGCGTAAATGTTATTCCCAATGTTTTCCTGAAGTCAGCTGGTTTTGACAAGTCAGAAGAGAAGGTTGTGGTGAGGCTGAATGATGGCCAGCAGGTAACCAAAGCAATTGTAGCTGTCAGTGTTTGTGTCTAACATTCTAAGAATTGTTGCAAGTCTTAAGCACTTGCTGCTGGGGGACTCGGTTTCAGGGTCGTTTCCTTTATACTTAATGCCTGGCTGCCCGAAACCAGACAAAAGAGCTTTGCCTTGTAACAAAAGACTGTACTCGGAACAAAAGACCGAGCTGCTTGGAATTTCCAACATTTTTTCAGTTGTCAATAGAGGAGAAAATGGGTCATTGTTTTGAAAGATTATACCACTGTTTGTAGCATTCAGTGCATGTGGATTACCACCGGGGAAAAAAACGCTCCTGTAATGAGGGATACAATACCGCTGCAGGCTGATCTGGCCCCCTATTGAAAGGACATCAGTTTCAAGAACAAAAGAAAATTACATAGCACCGCACAGTCTGGGCTCTTTTTACAAGGTGGCAGGCCTAGCTGAAATACTTGGGCGATGTTGTCTGTCAGATTAGAGTAGCCACCAGACGGTCATTCGTGTGGGTGTAAACGTCTAGTAAATGAAGTTATGAATTTTCAAAGAATTTTGAAAACAGAAAAAAAGTGAAAAATTACCCGGCCCAGCAGAATCAACATGGATATAATGGCCAGGCAGGAAGTGGATAAACAGTCCTCATGCATTTGTGATAACGTTTGGTTCATTGAGTGAGTAGGTGTCAAAAATCATGTTCTTGGAACATTTGAGCTTAAAATTAAAATGCAGTTCACATATATATAGGTGTCTGTTTGCCATACAGGCATCAAACAGATATCCTATTTGTTAAGGAATTATATTTCCTTTCTTCATGAACAAATGCTTGTCTTTTCGGCAAGTTGTGTAATTTTGTTTTAATATTAGTATTAGAGAACTTGGAGAATGCTCTTGCTATTTGTGGGATTTTTGTCACTTAACCCTAATCTTCCTCAATCCTTCAAAATCCTGCGGGTGGTTTTGGAGGATTTTGGAGGATTGAGGGTGAATGGCGAAAGTTCATGGCTGATTGCGAAGGATGCCATGAGTGAAGGTCATGGGTTTGACCTTGTGTTCTTCCTGCTCAGTCCTGCATAAATTCAGCCCGATATTTCTTTTGAATCAACCGCACTGCTGAAGAATGCCATTCGCACTGCCTCAACATAATAACAGGAATTGCCAGAGGATTTCGAAGGATTGAGGCAGTAGGCACACCTCCAAATAATATTTTCAAGAAATTTTGGAGGATTTCGGAGGATTGAGGGAGAATCCAATTTTTACACCCCCCCCGCTCCCAAATTGGAGGATTCTGGAGGATTGAGGAGGGTCCCTAGCAAAAAGGGCCTGGGGGTAGGGTTAATAAACGCCCTGTTTCTATTGAAACTCTGCATATGCACTTTTACTATGTTGGATTTTAAATCAGGTTGGGGCTACCTGGGAAATATTGAGACTACTTTTTACCCAATCTTGATTTCTACGTAATATTTGATCTCTGTTGCTGCTTTTGTGTGCAGTTACCAGCAGACCATGTGGTCTTAGCTGTGGGACTTCAGCCCAATGTAGACCTTGCTAGGGAGTCTGGTCTAGAGATTGATGATGATTTGGGTGGTTACAGGGTCAATGCTGAGCTTGAAGCTAGGAGTGATGTCTTTGTGGTAAGTAGCTTAGCCACCAAACATCAGCCATGTTTTTCCACTGTGAAATTGTACCTGTTGAAAACTCTAAATCGGTGACTCAACCTCTTGAGGCCGGTTCTTGTTTATGGCTAGAACTAAGCCTGTCATGCTCAATTTATGGAAATGTGACATACAATGAAACGTACAATGAATGTGTTCAACCTTGTTAGTCATGGCTGTGACATACACCACAGGGTGGTGCAGTTAAATTGATGGGAACCAGCTTTCCTCATTTGGGCATGTAGGAATTCTGTGCACTTGCAAGAATATACAACCACTTCAATTCATCACGTATACTGTAATGGGAAACTGAGGAGGTTTCTTTCCAATTCATTTCTAATTTCCAGTATATTGCATTGAGTACATTACATTGACCCCCCACAACACTGAGTGGACAGTCAGTTGGGCTGTTCTGAAGTTGTTTTTATGGGGCTTTTAACTCTACAGGTTTCTGGTACCTTTTGGCACTAATCAGTGCTCTGATTGGGTAGTGTGTTGGAGGGTTTGGTCATCATGAATAAAGACACTGACGTAGTGGTTGATTGTGAAATTAGGATACTGGATGTCTACATTGGTCAACTTGAGTACAGTGCCCCAGGGGTTTTAGGTTCAACTACAGTAGAAGTCTATTTCTTAGTCACCTAAATATTCATATTTGGTTCGGGTTGTCACCCATGTCAGGTAGTTTCCCTTTATTTTCTTGTTCATAGATTCACTGCTCCAAGGCACAATGTATACACCTAATTGCACAATTATTTAGATGCTGTTGGTAAATGCCATGGTACAAGTGATGTGCAAGCAGTGTCAGAATGAAGGTCATGTATCACAGAGTTGTGTGATTTGTTGTAGGCTGGTGATGCTGCCTGTTTCTATGACATCAAGCTGGGTAGACGGAGGGTAGAGCACCATGACCATGCTGTCGTCAGCGGCAGATTAGCTGGAGAGAACATGACAGGAGGCAAGAAACCATACTGGCACCAGTCTATGTTCTGGTCAGTTCTCACTCATACATTGTTATCAAAGTAAATTATTTTGATGAAGTGGAATTAAAAAAAAAAATTGCAGTGACAAAATTGTCTCAGTTCTTGACAAACAATTTTATCTAACAAGTGTCCTATGTGACTCAGTTCATTAACTTAAATCACATACTGTAAAGGTTCCAAAAAATAAAGTAATTCCAGTGGCAGAAGGTTGATTATATCAGAACATTACAAGATTTTGTGTACACAACTCCTGGGGAAGAAACAGATCAACAGGGGTATGACTGATGTTCCAACTTCCAAAGACATTTTTACTTTCTGTACCCTGTTGTAAAAAACGTGTACACATTGCATTCATTCAAAATAAGCCAACCGTTTCATTTTTTTCTATTTAGGAGCGATTTGGGACCTGAGGTAGGCTATGAAGCCATCGGGATCGTTGATGCCAGTTTACCCACTGTGGGTGTATTTGCCAAGGCCACGCCCAAGGACACGCCCAAAGCTGTAGTCGAGGAAACGGGGGAGAGTGTCAGATCAGAATCAGAGAGTGTAAGATATTTACCAAAATGTTATTGATTGATCATTGATTAACTGTAGCACTTATAACTTGAAATTCAGTGTAATACGTAAAAACCATTCTAAAATCCTTTAAGGTTGTCTCACGTCCCAAACAGCATATAGAATGCAGTGATAACAGACACAAGTGACCAACTATTTGGCCTGGGTTTATCACATCAATAATTTGTGGAGAGTTTTTAGGGGTAACCATATTTTGTAACAGGTTACATCAAAGGATTTGAAATATATGTGCTAATTCAATGAGTAAAATGGTTCAGGTGAGTTTGAAGGATTTTGGACTGGTAAAGATAAGAACGGTCAAGGTTGTACAGCCCTGTGAAATGATACAAGTTGTCATAGATGTCTTCAAAAGGCTCTCGTCAGCCGGTGAAGTCGTTCCATATGTCATGTCTTGACCGATCAACTACCCTTTTGGACCGTTGAGCGGCAGTGTTCACTCAATCATTTGAGTTAATGCAACCTTTGGCAGACGCCATTTTCGTGGAACTTCTACACAGGGAAAATATTTGCTCAGTATAGTCAGGCTACCAGCCAAAATGCCATGCGGTGTCAATTGCTTGATAAGTATGAGACCGGTTCTTGAATGCATGGTTCAAAAATTTGCTGAGTGAAAAATACCTGGTGTCAAACTCGACCGGCTATGTTCAGGCATAGCACATGCAAGGGAAATTCCCATTGCCCCTAGCCAGTGGCTTCCATAGGTATACATGTTATTCTTACTGTAGCCCCAGCCCCAACTTGTGGACACAGCCACATTGTCCTCTAAGCAGCTTTGTGAAGTTTTGCCCAAGTAACAGACACAAGGCATGCAGTGCAATTTCTGAACAAATCACGCTTTTGCAAACTTTTTTCATTTGTTGAGTTATCTTTTTCATGAGTCAATTTCATTTGTTGAAATACAAAGTGAGGAATCACCTGTTGTTTATGGCTCACAGGTTGCAGCTGCAACACCACCTGCCCCCAACATGGCCAAAGTTGCCCCAGTAGCAACCGAGGATTATGGGAAGGGTGTCGTATTCTACCTCAAAAATAACATGGTGGTTGGTGTGGTACTGTGGAACGTCTTCAATAAGATGCCTATTGCTAGGAAGGTAAGATGTCTAGCCTCGTGTGTAGTTTCATGAAAACTGCCTCATCAGTTGAAAAGAGTTGTGGTGGTCAGGAGTATTCATTTTGTTGGTAGCGATGCAACTACAACGCTTGCATTTCCTAGTCATTTGTGAACCAGCAATGCGCAGTTAGTACCCTCCGTTGCTGAGGAAATAGCGCCCTCTCTTGGTCCAGCTCGAGGCCCATATGCCATACCCAGCCAATCAAGTTTTCAGACAGTTTAAGCAAGAGGAAGTCCATTCACTCCAGTCCCAATTCCAAACATTTTTTGATGGCTTTATCAAAGGTCTTGATACTCTCTGGTCCCTGCTCTGATTCATTGATGTTCTTCCTTGTTGAGGTCATTTTGACGAGTGTATGAAAGTGTTTGATATATCGATCAATGTAAGCCCTCCGTATGTGTCCAACCATGTATTTCCAACGTGTTTATCACTTGTGTACATGGTATGTGCACGGTATGGAGCCTTTATCCTGCAATGTTTCATCCTGTTATAAACGTACACAAAACACATGGTGTGCCAGCAAAGTGATCCATGTATTTTTCGCGGGTGCCACGAACTGAAACAAGTGCCAAAAATACTGAATTTTTTTCACAGCCTGATTCTTAAAAAATGTGGAAATCTGCAGATCCATGGAAACGTTTGCATGCCTGCACAGGACCATACCATAGGAAGGCACACATATAAAAAAATGTGGCATCATAAGTACAGAGGTCTATCGGCAGGTGGAAAATCAAGCAAATAATATATGCAGGTGCAACATTTTGTAGTTTACATGAGGAAGTGTCCTCCTTAAATTGATAAAGTTGCTGGCTTCTTTGAATATTTTGCGACTTGTAATAATTTGTGAGATGCTGTGAAATGAATTCTGTCTTTGAATTTTCAGGGGACCTAATTCAGGGCTGTATTTTAAAAGGAATTGGTTCCCATGAAATTCCATGTGTGACTTTTTCCTTGGGTTGTCATTTTCACCAATTCCATTATTTTCTGGATACGGAAATAAAAATGGGACTTTTCCAGTTTTCCCAGCCGGTGTGAAACCCAGCTGGAAAGTCTTTTTGGAAGTGCGTAATCTTAAAATTCCAGATGATAAAAACAGGTCCATTTTCATTTAGCCAAATGCTGAACACAAGTGGTCTCATAGTTTAATTCCCTCTTATTTTATTTTGTTGATTCTTTTCCAGGTTATCAAGGAAGGGAAGGAGTACAGTGACCTTAGTGACCTAGCTAAACTATTCAATATTCATGAAGTGCAAGAGTGAAACTTCCACCTTTTTTTAGTAACAAGAGAATTAAATATATTTAGGAGTAAAATATGAGGAAATTGATTCTTTGGAATTCAATTGTGTGGCAAATTGTAGGATGCAGTCTCAAATAAGATGCTTGGCATCTTAATTTCCTTGGTGGTGATAATAACATTTCTAGGTAGTGCACTTAATATCATCTGTTTGTGATGCATGACAATAGGATCAACCTCAGGAAATAGATCAAACATGTTAGAGTAAGGGAAATCAGTACAAATTTGTTTTTACAAGAACATTCCTACGGACAAGTGACATATTTCATTTCAAATATTCCTGAATGTCTTGATTTTGTTTCTTTTTCATCTGTTGCATTTAAGGAGATGCAGACCGAGTTATTTCAAACCCTTTTCACATAACCATCTCCTCAAACAAAATCCACGAATATTGAAACCTTTATTTTCCATGTTTTAAGTATCTTGCAGTTTTAAGTAATAACAACAGGAAACAAAACAAACAGGAAATGTTTGCTAGCAATCAAAATACTAAGTTTTCATCTTTTGAAAACATGTAGCAAAGTGCTTGTATTTCCTGCAGTAATAACCACTTGCAAATTACACAAACTTTCGCTAACAAAATACCAATGGGTGGCTTATTTGGGTATTACTTGAAAGGGTAACCTAATCAGGGTAACCTGATGCATTCCAATAAAACCTGAGCATTTGTATCTTGAACTTGCAAAGCCTTGACAGTGTCATTCTGTGCTATACAAAGTAGAAGCAATGCACAGTACACTGCGCCATAAACATATTACCACGAAGAAGCCAATTATTTCCATTTTCTGTGGCCAGTTGGTTGACATCTGTATACATTGAACGCTACTTTCATTTGCATACATGCTCTGTGGTTATTACAGTTTGCGATGGGTGCGAATAATCTCAGACTCCTTTAAGGCGTCATATGACACTTGGAGACATACGATAGATGATGAACTGCAGGATAACATGCAGAGTGTCAAAAGTAAAGTGTAAAAGCTTAGTTACCTCAACGCAAATGCTTTATGGCACACTGTACTGTGAAATGCTCTGATTGTAATCACTTAATACAAAAATATGTAGTTAAAGTAGGTCTAAATGCAAAGGGAACAGGTTGTGAGTAGAAGTCCATGTATCGGGATATTCACTTCACTTTTGGGTAGTCACACCACTGAGAAGATTACTGCTGTTAAAATGTCAGTTTGTAAACATGTTTTTAAAGAGAACATATCACACACACTGTTGAGGGAAACAACCATGATAGCTACAGTCATGTTTTCTAATGAGCACTAGACTCTAGTGTTGAAAAGAATTGTGTTTTTATCTTTGCCAATTTGCCTCTAAAGTAAATTAAAATTTGAGTGAGAACAGTCAAATAAAAAAATTTCAAATCTTTTACTATACTTTGTCCATCCTCTTTCTTGTAAATTACTACTGCACAACATTAAAGAGGTCGTTTTTTCTATTTTTATTTTCATGAAAATTTAAAGGGTACTGTCTTCTCTATCCCCTTTTGAGAGCTCACACTGCAAAGGAACAAAAAGGATGATAATTTGCGTGTGGGGGATGATTCAATTTACCACCCCCCCTTAAAAAGTGGGGAGGGGATATATACACCCCCCCCCCCCATTTACGCCCATGCCTTCTCCCATATGGTTTATGCTTATGGCTGGGGGTAATAAACATGGCAAAAAATGAACAAACAAACCAAAAAAGATGGCCCCTTTAGTGTACTGTGCTTGGGGTACAAATATGAAACATCAGTTGTCTGAAATCAAAGATCAGCAAGAGGGAAAACACAACAGAAATTCACACAGCTCTCAAGAGAGGCCAACCAAGACGACACATGAAAAATTAACGAAAGAAATAATCAAAATGGGCCATGAAATTCAAGTATTAAAGGAGGAGACAGAATCATCACAATAACTTTATTGTTATGACACTGAAGCCAACAGGTATACAACACGTCTACAGAAATGTGTACACAAACTGCTAGAGAGTGAAGTTTCTACAAATAGGGTAGTTCCTATCATTGAAACATTGAGACTTCTGGAGATTGCAGATGCATCGGCCAACTGCTTACCAAGTACCACAGCCATAAGTAACATCAATGATCAGCGGTTAATTCTTGCACAAGAGGATATTTTGGAGGAGATTCCAATGGCAGAAAGTACTACTTTGGAAAAAGATTGATCCTCAAAGAATGGCAAAAAGTATAGGGCATTTGCACTGCGGACAATGGATGGTTGACTGTATGTGCTGGGACTGAGAGATCTTCTCACAAAATCAGATGAAGACACTCTCCATGCCTTTCAAGAAATACTATGCTACTTACTACAAAGACAATAATGAGGTATGCTGTTCCACCTGCGAAACACTATGTCTAACAGGGCAGGTACAGGGCTCAAGTTTAATAAACTTTTGGAATTATTTCGAGGTGAAGTGCTTCCCCATATAATAGAAACATGGACAGACCTTAGTGAGGATGTCAAAGTTTAACTTCCAAGGCTCAACCATTTCTTCTGTGGCCTACATTGGTTGGTGCATATGGCTGAGATGTGCAACATATCATTGTTAGAAGTAGAAAAAACCATTTCAATGGGGATGCACCCATTGAGAACCCAGATTTCCAGAGGGGGACAGAGCCTGCTGTTTGCCGATTAATACGGACAGGCCTGTCAGGCATTTGCCTATGGTGGAGACCAGAAAAGGGGCTTTCATGGAAGCTTTGTCATCTGTCTAGGTGATTACCTGAAGGAACATGATATGCACAGTGTACCCCTCATATGGGGGTGTTACAAATTCAATACTGGATATGTAAGTAAACGTAAGTAAATAGTGGTCTTCTTAGGCACCATTTCAGAATTCTTATCAGGTAGGTGTCGGACAGAACGGTCCGACCGATACATTAATTTTAGGTTGGCTATCAGGTGAAGTGTTCTCAAGTGGCCAATTCTAACTGATAAATGCCTTTACATTCCATTACTCCCAAGGCTATCTGGTTTCAGTGGAGCAACACCCCCTCCGTTATGCACTCAACTCAAGTCACTGTTATTTATTTACCGGTTGGATGGCCCTGTCCTATAGTCAACTGATAGGAATTTTGAAATGATGCCTAATAGAGACTGATGGAAGCAACAAGTGGGTGCTGCATGATCTGAAACTCCTTTTTTGGTGGCAGGTGCTAAGACCTTGGGCCTCATTTGCAAGGTAATCACAACACCACTATGGATTTTGATTGAGAGCAAAGGTGTGAACATCATGGAGTTGAACACAAGATATCTCAGATATCTCTGGTCACTTTCTTGAAAAATTCAGCAAAGAACACAGAGAACTTCATCAAAGGGAAGAGAATCCTTTATTAAGATATACCATTCACGGAAGATGCAGTTTACAAGGCATTGCTAGAAAGCTCAGAATATGACAGGGACTGTTGCTTAATTTTGTCAGTTGTTCTAGCACCCATGGCCTAGAAAGTGTATACAGACCATCTGTAGCGAAATCCATCACAGTATTCTTTAACATTGACAATTTTTGCCTTGTTACTTGACATGATACAATTCAAATGAAGAATTCAGTTGAAGATCGCTTATTTTGTTACTCACCATGCTATTCATGTGCACAGCCATCCTTGTGTTGCCAACTGTACATGCACATGTGCTTTCTTAAGGAGGCGGCCATGTTTGTTTTGGGGCATTATTGTTTTGGTCATGTGACTTCATGAAAAGCTAGTTCATTCACAATGTAAAACGTTACCTAAAATTATGATTTCATAATTTGTCCTTAATTAATGTTTCCTTGTAGATTATAGTGATTGTTAGAAATACTATTTTACTTTAGTTTGAACCCTCCCATAATGCTTCACTCTGACTACACTTGGCATGATTTTCAACAATGGGCCCAGCAGATTGCTGCCTTGCAGATGGTTTAATTCCACTGATTCCGTAACCATCCTGCATTATTTTTAGCTACCCAACTACAGGTCCAAGAGATCTCACAATGTTCTGTATGGTGTTCTAAGATGTTCTGTGATGTTCCATGAGTGATGTTCACCAATGTTCACGATGTTCACTGACATTCATGATGTTCTACTGTTCAATGTCATTCAACGATGTTTCACTCGGAATAAATCACATGTTAAGTTACATCCGTGAGAGCGTGTCCGCCATTGATTGCTAGCTTGGTAGTTGGCGCAGCTATAGCGAGGTGGTGATGTAGCTGCACTGGCTATTATCCTGAGAGATTGCATGGCAATCCAGAAGTTGCCTCCTCCAGAACCAACTGTGTTTGTGGGAGACCCGATCCACTATGTTGAGTGGAAAACCAGCTTTAAATTGAATCAAAGGCTATCTCCACGCCAGAGAGAGTATACTACTTGAAGAGGTATCTTGGTGAAGCGCTTAAGGCAGTGGAGGGCTTCTTCTACAGCACATCAGCGGAGTCATATGAAGGAGCTTGGCGGCTACTTGAGGAGCATTATGGACACCCCTTCAAAATCCAGAAGGCGTTTCGAGATAAATTATCTAAATGGCAGAGGATAGGCCCGAAGGATGCCAACGCTCTGCAACAGTTTGCAGATTTCCTCAAGGCATGTAAAGACGCCAATCCTCATGTTCCTGCCTTGAAAATACTGGACGACTGTGAAGAGAACCGACGTTTTCTCTCCAAATTGCCAGATTGGGCTACAGCTCGATGGAATAGGAAGGTTACACAGATGCTTGATGAAACAGGTGACTACCCTGGGTTTGAAGAGTTGGTGGAATTCATTTGTAAGGAAGCTAGAATAGCATGCAATCCCATTTCTTCACTGCATGCACTGAAAGCGGCAGACCTACCAGAGTCAGAGGAAACACAAGGAGCTAAGAGAAGAACCAACCGTAGCAGGGGCACAACTCTAACAGTTGGTTCTCATGAGCTGCACAAAAAGCCCAAGGAAAGCCAGCTCCCAAAGCCATGCCAGTTTTGCAAGAAGACTGATCATCATTTGAGTAAATGCCCTGGCTTTGACACGAAGTCTCTCGTCGAAAAGAGAAAGTTCGTCCAAGAAAACAGGTTATGTTTTGCCTACCTGAAGAGAGGTCACATGTCCAAGGACTGTCGTAGAAAGCTGAGCTGTGATAAGTGTAAAAGACGACATCCGACAATTCTGCAAGATGATGCCCTGGCACAGACAACCGAAACCAATCCCAAGGGAGAGAATTCCAAAGAAGAGAACTCCAAGGAAGTACATGCACGTGTGATGTCATGTGGCATGCAGATGGGAAGTGGATGTAAAACTTCGATGATAGTCCCAGTCTGGGTCTCATAAGTCAGCACTTCCATTGAAGGAGAATCTGTAGATTCTCCTTCAATGGAAGTGCTGACTTATGCCCTGTTGGACACTCAGAGT